ACAAATTGTGAAAGCCGAAAGGTGATGAATTCATCTTTTGCGAATATAAGCATCCCAATACTCCCTGTTTCAAGTAAAGTTTTTCACCATGATATCCTGACTTCATTACCAACTTAGTAATAATTATTTCCAGTTTACTGGGGTGTGTGATAGACTTACCTCCACGTGGTGCACCCTGGGCAACGTATACGCATACGGCAAAAAAGTCTATTAACTGGCAGTTAGCTTCTGATTTCAAACTTCCATGACCCGACTTCAAGTCATATTCGACCCCTTCCACAGTACTCACCTTTCCTTTTTCTCTACCTTTGTGTCTGTTTGCCTCTTTTACATCTGTGAATCGCTCTTCTCTTCCCCACCCCTCGACTTTCTGCTACTCTGATTAAGTGTTTCAAGCAATAAAGCGTCTTCATTGACATAGAATTCATCCGAAGTAATCCTAAACTATTGCAAAATTAAAAAAAGAAATTCTTCAGAAGCAACTCCTCCAGTAACTGAATGGCTAAAATTTTGCCAGTTTATAACATTGCCTCCAACCAGACACTAGAGGTGAATAAGATTAGAATTAAAAATTACACACACACTGCATTAGGTGATTAATTTCGGCAGTGGAAAAACGCAACAGCCATCAAATAGTTCAAAATATACCAACACAATACGAGGGCGCGATTATTTACCAAAAGCTAATTCATCACTCGGCAAACCGAGGATGTGTGTGTGTGTGTGTGAAATTGATATGCTGTTCACCCAGTGGTTCGATCTGAGCAGTCGTTTCTCATACCCAATTACTTCCATCCCCCCCCCCCTACTCTCCTCAAATGGCCAGCAAATATAGAGGAAAGTCATGAATTTCTCCCGTAGTGGCGAAATAATGCAGAATACAAAATTACAGGGGGAAATTAAGTCAGTAAAATTTCAAAGAAAGATCACGGTGAGATGGTGACGTATATAACCGGCAGATCGGTCGGCACAGATCCGAAATCCCCTGATATATATAATCCACGGCTAATATATTCAACCACGCAAATTAACTATAAGCCAATATTGAAAGCATGTATTTCAATCCCAGAAATTATAGGACACCCAGATGCTGGAGGGATCAAATTTCGGAAAATTTAAATATTCCTTCATCATGTACTATTTGTCTAGCAAATATTTGCTTAATTAGAGGACACAAGTCGGAAACTATTCGCGTGAAACCAGTGAGATTGAGTGAAATGAGATAGTAGAAGATACAAATCATGAGGGAGTAGAATTTAATATAAGCGGGACGTAGGATACATTATTGACGGTTCTTCTATCAAAAAGCACAAATATATCCTAAGAATACGGATCGAAATTTGGGCAGAAATTTTAAGGAACAAAATAAAATTTAACGATTAAGATAATTGTAAAAATTGAGCATGGTATGAAGATTGCAAAATAATGTTTCAACTTTCTATTACACGAATTCATCAGATTGAAATCGGCAGATTATCATTAATAATAGAACCGACCTAGAACTTCAAAATTTTCAGTGGAATAGAATTAACGAACCTTGAGGACACATTGAGCAAGATTGATGAGATTGGGATAATCAATTTGTGGAATACCAGAAGCAGGAGGAGCGATATCGCTCATCACAACATCAACACTTCTTTCAGAGCCACTATCAAGAGCCTCTTTCACTTGACCCAGAGTACGGGCTGTATCTCGGAGATCACACTGAGGAATACATATAGCGCCAGGAACAGCCTCAAAGTCGTTTATGTCGAGTGCGATCACTCTGCCACCAGAAGAAAGTTTTACTGCAACTTGGCTCCATGAACCCGGGGCTGCTCCACAATCGACAATTGTCATGCCAGGTTGAATCAACTTGCTACTACCAATCATATCGTTGATTTCAAGAAGTTTGAAGGCACTCCGACAACGATAGGAATGGACTCGAGCATTAAACACGTAGGGATCTCGGCGTTGGCGTTCTAGCCATCTCTATAAACAACAAATAAATAAATAACTGGATTCACAATTGGCCTAAGTCGTTAATAGATAATTAGTGATCTAGTTGATTTGCAAGATAGCTCCCTTTTCATTAAGAACTGACTTTCTTTAATTCTATTCAAACAATCATAATAGACTAGTCGTAAGCATTATTGTTAACAAATATATCATACAAATCTACTCTCCCCCTCCCTTCCCTTCCCCAATTGTAACGAACGAATAGATCCCTCTTTTGGGAGTTAATTAACATCGGCCTGGAGATTAGGCGTCCAAAAATTTGGACAATTAGCTAGAAAAACATGAATATAATAGTTTTTTATGGTCAGTAACACGACTTGGGTACAAAAGTAGTGATTCGCATTCGTAAACAGAAAAAAAACTATTAGAAAATATGAAAATAACATTATTTCTCTTATGAGCTCTTTAAGAAGAATAAAATCCTTAATTACGTCTCCCCCTAAACTCCAGAAGGGTAAAACACAGATTATTATGGTAATATCATTCAAACAGGTTGCTTGAGATGGTCTTGTGGGACACGTCATCGCATGCGTGTACACATAGGCTT